GGTTGAAAACGGACGTCATTTGATGTGTTTCGGACTCAAAATGGAAAATTTGATGTTTTATGAAATTTGAAAGAATTCTTAGATTTTAAAGTTTAATTCATGGTATATGACGTTATTTTGGCGATTTGATCGCACGGTTAAGTTCTTAGGATGTTGTTGAGTTAGTGCATATGTTTGGTTAGGAGCCCCGAGGGCTCGGGAGTGTTTCGGAGTGATTTCGGACTTAGTAAAATTTGGAGAAAAATTGCAGAAATAGTACCTAGTGAACAGTACCCCGTGAACAGTGTCGTATACAGTAACCCCGTGAACAGTACCAGACAGAATGTTAAGTTCGGGAGATTTTCCATTTTTAATGATTTGGAGCTCGGATAAAGCGATTTTTTGGGAGATTTTCGGAGAGAACAACGGGGTAAGTATTTTTAACTTAATTTTGGTTAGATTACTCGAATATATTACAAGTTTTGGCATTAAATCCGTGAATTTAGCGGAAAAAGTTAGAAACCCTCTCGGATAGAATTGAGAATTTGAGGGTCGAAATGTTATGGGAATTTGATAATTTTGGTATGGTTAGACTCGTGGAGAGATAAGGAACCCGTTGATGTAAAAATTCCTGAATTTCGAGATGTGGGTCCGGGGCTCGAGTTCTTGCTAATTTCGAGAATTTTGATATTTTTTCGAGTGTTTTCGATTGGGTATTGTCCCTTTAGCATAATGCGACATATTCGCTGTGATTTTGAGCAGATTCGTCGCACAAGGAGACTAATTTGAGAGGCAAGGGCATAGCGAGCTAGAGCTTTGGCCAGTATGAGGTGAGTAATGAGTGTAAATGATGTCCTGAGGGATTGAAACCCCGGATTGCACATCATAGTGCTATATTGAGGTGAGACACGCACTGGATGAAGAGCGCGGGGTCCTTTACTACTAAGGATTGTGACTTGGTCCATCTCGTATTGATGATTTTACTACATATTTGAATGAAACTGATTTGTTATCATCATGATTTGGGTTGTTTGCTATATTTGGGCTTCGTGCCAATTATTTGAATCCTTCGGGAATTTTTATCACTATTTCCTCACTGTTTTGACTTATATTTAAACTCAGTCCTGCTGATGATTATTGTTTTACAAACTCAGCCACTTTTATACAGATTTGAAACTCAAATGATATTTCTAAATGATATTTTGGGCTGAGAACTACTGTTTTACAAATGCCCAAGGGCTTGTGATGATTTTCAGACTGAGTGAGGCCAAGGACCATATGTAAGGATATGCTGAGTGATATGAGGTCAAGGGCCTGAGTTACTATTTATGCCACGCGGTGGCTTGAGTGATGTGAGGAGGCTTTCAGGCCTTATGAGTGATGTGAGGAGGCTTTCAGGCCTTATGAGTGAAGTGAGGAGGCTTTCAGGCTTTATGTTATTATTGTGCTTGGGCTGTAGGAGCCCCTCCGGAGTCTGCACACTCACAGTGAGCGCGGGTACCCATGTGATTTGAGACAGTGGTAACAATGACATTGTATGATGCAATTTGGTCAGGTAATAATGACTGACCAGGACAGTGGTAACAATGACACTGTATGATGCAATTTGGTCAGGTGACAATGACTGACCAGGAATAACACTGTGAGGTCAGGTAACAATGGCTGACCAGGAACTAATTTGTGCCCGAGGGGCGAGGTTTATATGTTCATTTTGCATACTCACTTGTCTTTTACTTGTTTAATTGTGGTATTTGTGCCCGAGGGGCGGATTTCTGTGCATAGCGACACTAATTGTTTTGAAATTATTTCACAACTTTTGAAAAGATCATTTTCAAAAGAGGTTTAAAACTGAGCCAAGGTATTTTCTAAAGAATTCACAGTTTCACTTATTTTTCTCAAGGAGTTTTACACTGCTTCTATATAGCATGTTGATTGCTTTACGTGATTTCTTACTGCTCAGTTATTATTTACCTTTATTACTCACTGAGTTGGAGTACTCACTTTACTCCCTGCACCTCGCGTGCAGTTGTAGGTATTTGTTCACCTGGTAGCGGGTATTGGCTGCGTGGAGGCAGAGTTGTAGAGGTTTTAGTGAGGTGACTGCCAGCGTTCGCAGCACCACTGTCTTTCTATGTTATTCATTATTCTTGTTCAGTGTATTTCTAGACTGTAAAGTGGAAATTTCATTCTTATAGATGCTCGTGACTTGTGACACCCCGGTTAGGGCTGTGTCGGGCTGGACTTCCGCATTATTATCTATATTTGTGTTAATTAACTGCTTTAAAAGATGAATTGGGTTAGACTGGCTGGCCTTGTCTTCAAGAGAGGGCCATCACGATCGGGTTCAGGTTTAGGGTCGTGACAGTAAGTCCCAAGGATCTTTAAATTTTACTAATTTCAAGAATTTTAAGATAGAATAAAATAAAAAATAATTGTAAAAAAATACATTAAAATCACGAAATTATAAGAAACAGTATATTTAAAATATTAATAAATTATAATTCAAGTATGAACAATACGAAAAGTATGCAATATATCATAATAAGCAAATTAGCTGCAACGTCGTTACAACTCAAATATTAAAAGTAGTGTATTCGATACGAAATCTTATACGTATTTCTTAAGGAGTAATGAATCTTGAAAGAATTTCGATATTATAATTTGATATTTTTTTTTCAAAATACTCTTTATTTAATATGCTTTCTATTTGAAAGAGAATTTATATAAAACATAATTCATAATTTAAATATGATTCTCTAGCATCATTACTTTTAAGTTTCAACAAGTTAATAAAGTGACACATAAGTCACCATACAATACCATGATAATTAATTATTTGTAAATAGTTAATAGCTAATACTGAGCTATTAAATTAATAAATATTGTATCTCGTAAACATGAAAAAATATATTTAGGAAAATAATTATAAAAAAATTATGGACTATTATATAATAAAGACATAACAAAAGTTAATAAATAAATACTTTTTCAAATGAAAGATTTATTTAAATTTACTATCATAGCAGTCTTAGCGGATAACGTGCAATAATTTTTATTGTAATTATGTCAATTAATGATTTAAGGTTAAGAAAAAATAATTTTGAATAGTTAACGATTTATTAAGAAAATTTGTGGATTTACAAGGTTAATTGCACATAGTTGCATAAAGTTCTATTAGGCGAGCCATGTACACTAGGCCTTGGACGTGTCTGGGGCCTAAGCCCCGACGGCTGAGGCATAAGTCTCACGGAACTAAACCCCACACATAAGGCCAGGGGCGTTTTACGAGTGCTCCGCCCGGGGGGAGAATCCCAATTCTGCCTTTTAAAATAGTGAGAGGGAGTAATTACACTCTTTAATTCTCAAATGAGAGGTAAGAACTGAGAATTGAATGTAATTATAAGGTAACTTTTCAGATTCTTTTTTTTCAAATATATTTTCTTTAAAAAAACTTTTCCGATAGTGAGAATCTATATTATATTAAAAGCATGAAAGCCCTTAGATAAATGTCGTTCGCCTTTTTTTCCTTTTAAAAATTGAGTTTACATTGGATAAAATAGTAATTTTGTTATTATCCTTGTGAGCACCCAATTTTTGCCCTAATGCAAATAACTCCTAAAAATATTCCAAAATAGTTTAGAAGTGTTTTAAACCATAAAAGATCATAAGAAAATATTTAATTTTTCATCTAACATTTTAGACCTTAATTGCATTTAGAATTTAATTACATGCATAACCAAATGAAAATCACAAAAAATACAAGTCATTTTTGCATTTTTAGCTTTTAATTTTAAATTAGTAATTTCCGTTGATAAATTATTTAAATCTTAGAAATAAATGTTAGGTTTAATACCACAAATTAGATTTGATTTAATGATTAATTTAGGTTCTTAATTAATTTGATTAGGATTTTTAATTGAAAAGGGAAAGAAAAACAAAGAAAAGAAATAAATAACTTGTTTGGTCTTAATTAAAATTGGGCCAAAAGCCTAATCTAATTGGCCCAATTGCCAATGGGGCATTTGCATTTATATCCGCTTTTTGTGTCACATTTTAAGTTGTGTCCGCTTTGCAAAATAAATTGCAAGCGTACCCGCCTTTTCGCATAACTTCAGCACACGGGGCTGAAGTGGCAAAGGCAATCACGTAAAACTTCAGCATTCTAGTAGTCGGGCCTGAAGTTCAGCTCTAGAGCTGAAGTTTTTGTTTTGTTACTGGCGAACTTCAGCTCTAGAGCTGAAGTTTTTGTGTTGTAATTGGGAAACTTCAGCTCTAGAGCTGAAGTTTTTGTTAATGTGCTGTATTTGTCAATTATAATTTTCTAGCTGTATTTTTGTTGTTTTGCCTTAGTTGTAGCTAGTGGCTGTTAGCTGAAGTGGACTAGAATGAGCAAATTATGTTTTTAAGAAAGCCACAAGATGCTCGATGTATGTCCTCTGAGACAAAAAAAGGAATAACGGTGCCCAAACAAACAAAAATAAGTAGAGAGGCGTACGAATATATACTGCACAAAAATCATACCAAGAAATATATATATATTTCCAAAGGGTACACGAATAATTGGCCTTACAAAAACGCTTTCCAACAGTGAGCAATCCAAAACAAATCCTACTGGTAACTTAAACTTTTTTCTAAGACTAATTTGCTGTAAATTTGGAGCAGAAGTACAACTACCAAACTGTTCAAATAAAAAAAATTCTCCTTATAACTAAAGCAGCGTTGCTTCTGGAGATAAATACCAATTTGTTTTGTAAATGGAAAAAAAAACAAAGGAGGAGAAGGCGGAGGAGAAAGAGAGCTGAAGTTATTTAAAAAGTAGGTACAAGTTAAAAAAATTTAAAAAAATATTTATAAGTTGAATAGGGGCGACCAAATAGGACGCCCCGTGCAATTTTTACATTGTCAATTCTCACCCCAAATCTGTCCAAGCCCACTACCCATATAATTCCCATAAAATGTTGAAATCCAACAGTAGTCGCAACTAGTTGAAAACCAAAGACGCCAAAGATCAAAAAATTAAATAAAAAAAAACTGAGAAAACTAATAAAAAAAACGAACAGAAGAAGACTAGGATTCAAAAGAAATTTTGAAGTCGTCTCAATTGCTCGATTATCCTGCATATTCTGGGTTTTAAGGGAGTGATTTGAACTCAAAATGGCTGCTTGATTTTGCTGCTAATCCTTGGATCTGTTTTGTTAGGCTCCAATCAGCCGATTTCTTCGCCTTTATCTGTTTTTTGGAACTGTAGACTTGCGCTCCAGGTACCCCTCTTTTCTTCTTGCTTCATGTAATGTTCATAGTATTAATTGAATATCACCTTTCGGTTATAACATCATATTTGTCTGTCAGATTTGAGACATGTTTGCTTCTTAATTGTTATTGTTTGGATCATTCGTAGAATCAAAGAATAAATCCATCTTTCGTCGCAATACATGTGAATGTTTGGCCGATGAAAGTTAGTAGCTATAATATGAATATGATTAATTGAACATGATTCTGTTGTTAAGTTTTGTTAAGTTCTGAAATCATTATGTTCTAAATCTGTTCTGGTTCTTAGATTCGTCATGTGTATATGTTAATGTAAGCCCTGTTATAAAAGGCAGAATTGGGACTTGTTCGGGTCTCGCCCCTGGGCGGAGCACTCATAAAATGCCCCTGGGCTTATGTGTGGGGCTTAGTTCCGTGAGACTTACGCCTCGGCCATCGGGGCTTACGCCCCGGTTACGCCCAACGCGCAACGTACTAGACTCGTCTAATAGAACTTTATGCAATTATATGTAACTAACCTTGTAAATCTTCAAATTTTCTTAATAAATCGTTGACTATTCAAAATTACTTTTTTCTTATTCATAAATCATTAAGTTGAGAGTATTTTATGCCATAATTAAAATAAAAGTTATTGCACGTTATCCACTAAGACTGCTATGATAGTAAATTTTAAATAAAGTTTTCATTTAAAAAATATTTATTTATTAACTTTTGTTATGTCTTTACTAAATAATAGTCCATAATTTTTTATAATTATTTTTCTAAATATTTTTTTCACGTTTACGAGATACAATACTTATTAATTTAATAGTTCAATATTAGCTAGTAACTATTTACAAATAATTAGTTATCACGGTATTTGTATGGTGAATTATGTGTCACTTTATTAACCTGTTGAAACTTAAAAATAAAAGATGCTGGAGAATTATATTGAAATTGTGAAATATGCTTTTATATAAATTCTCTTTCAAATAGAAAGCATATTAAATAAAAGGAATAGTTTAAGAAAAATATCAAATCATAATATCGAAATTCTTTCAAGATTCATTACTTTTTAAGAGTTACATATAAGATTTCGTATCAAATGCATTACTTTTGATGTTTGAGTTGCAATGACGTTTGCAGCTAATTTGCATATTACGATATATGTCATATTTTTCGTATTATTCATAGTTGAATTATACTTTATAAATATTTTAAATAGATTATTTGTAATAATTTTATGATTTTAATGTAATTTTTATAATTATTTTTTATTTTATACTATTTTAAAATTCTTGAAATTAGAAAAATTTAAAGAAGTCCCATGCCTCAGAAATTCCCGTCATTAATTAATTACACATGACTTTCCAAACAGACCCTTAATATTTGACGGAGTCCACAAATGCTCGTTTTTAACAAATTTAATGGACCAAAACTGGTCAGCAATACATTTAAGGGACCATTGGAACCTAACCCCAAAGATAAGGTACCGTGTTTTTTTTTTTCTTGACCATGTTTTGTCTTTTCTCTCCTTTATTAAATATCAATTCTTTTCAAAAAGATGCATTAAAATTTAAACGAAACTCGGGTATAGCAACTCCCAATTGGTAGACAAATCTGAAATCTGCGCCTTTTCACAGTTTTTTCAAGTTACAGAAAATATCGATCCACAGATTCTCCGTTTTAAATTCGCATTTTAACCTTCTTTGATTGTATTTTTTGGATTTAGGTTACAGTAAATTATCTTGCTAAAAGTGAAAAAAAAAAAAAAAAGAAGAAGAGAGGAGATGGATCCGGATTCAGTGAAATCAACTCTCTCTAATTTAGCATTTGGAAATGTAATGGCTGCTGCTGCTCGTGATTACCAGAAGGTATTTGTACTTTTTCTTCCCCTCTGATTTGAATCTCTCTTATTTTATTAATTTGGATAAATAAATGGACCTGATTAGAGTAAAGTTTGGATTTTTATGTGCAGAAAATAATAAAGTTTGGATATTGTGTCCAAATAGAGCGGAATTGTTACTAAGGATTTATATAGCAAATTTCTACTAGTTTGGGATTGAGGCATAGTTTTATTGCAGTAAAATTTGGATTTTTTTGTATTCATGTGAGACAGGTGTAATTGTATGTATATTGATACTATGAATTCTTAAAATTCTATACTAATAATTCTATCCAGATATTTGTGATGTAGCATTAAATTGTTTTACTGACCACAGAGACAACTCTGCATGCACCATTCTCCTTGAGACTCAGATAATTGCTTTTCAGCAAATTAATAAAGAGGGTGCATTTGTCATGAAAGAAAATATTTTCAAATTCAGTAGAATTTACATCCTTTTTCCTACAACTAGTAAGGACTGGTATGAAACTCTTCATAATTATGGCATCCTAATGTGAAGTATACTTTTCTGGTGCCTCAAGCTTATCTAATGGAGTAATTGTATTAAAATGACACTATGAAAGCGCAACGATAGTATTTACATCAGTAGCCAAGCAACTAAGAGCTACAGGTCGTGTTTCTATTGTGTGGCTAGATTAATGCTGCCTCCGGTCTCAGGATAAAGACGTTCTTCTATGGGAAATACTGAGAATTATTTACTATGTTAATCTGTTTATTTCTATACCCCAATTACTAACCATTTAAGACCGCTATTTTGTTAATAAGCTAAGAAGAAGTCATTTAGATATAATGAGTTAAGTCAACATTTCGGGGGAGTTAGGCCTTAATCTTACTTGCTATTCCTTTGAGATAGCCTAATATTTGATATTGATAGTTAAATCATTGTTATATACCTCAAACATCCCGCAGTTTTATTTAGCGGGTATTAACTACTGATCATTGTATGCAACTTCACCCTTTAGGAAGTGTTGGCTCAAGAGAAGGCGCTAGCATCATCTTCTGTTAATGAAGACATAGATCTTGATGAACTGATGGATGTAAGTTTGCTTATCCATCGCTGTTTCTCGTTCTAGGCACATAATTTGCATGTATGTTTACTTGCTCATTGTGCTTTTAACAGGACCCTGAGCTGGAAAAGTTGCACGCAGATAGGATTGCGGCTCTCAAGGTCTGTTATTTTGTTTTGCATGCAGGTCAACACAGTTAGTGATATCTGGAGGCAAGGTGCCTTAACGTTGAACAATTGTTTGTCTTGATTCTGTTCTAAAGAAAGAAGCAGAGAAGCGAGAAGCTCTAAAAAGGCAAGGGCATGGAGAATATAGAGAGATTAGTGAAGGAGATTTTTTGGGTGAAGTTACTGGTTGTGAGAAAGTGATTTGTCACTTCTACCATCGGGAGTTCTATCGATGCAAGTAAGGAATTACTTCATGTTTTACTGTTTACTTCCCTTCCCACATAAAAGAAAAAGACATAAGAGGGGGGTTCTTTCTGGATAGCTGTTTCTGTTATTCTTTGCTGCTATTGGTGTTTGAGATAAAGCGGGAGGGAGAGAGTAATTTTCCAAGTTAGATCAATTCTGGTATATCTCATACTGTAGATTTTTAGTTTGAGTTTCTTCAGAAGTCAGTAGTGCAAGAACTTCAGTCTGTAATCTGATGCAACAAGCTTGGCACTCATAAAAGTGTTGCCTAAATTTGCATCTTGAAGGTTCCGTTTGTGACAGCTTTAACATGGTTAACTGATCATCCAAATTTTTAATTGGCCAGATTGTGAAATTCTCTTGCTTCTCTTCCTACTTCAATGCGTCGATGCTCAGCATAGAATAATCTAGCTATACATACTAGTGAAAGGGAAAAAGAGTAGGAATCTAGCTGTGTATATCCACATGCATGCATGCACAAACATAATGGTATTTGTTGCTCTTTCAGGATCATGGATAAGCATTTGAAGTCTCTCGCACCAAGACATGTTGATACAAAGTTTCTAAAGTTGGATGCGGAGGTCTGTATATCTTGAGTTTTTGTATTCTTCCTCAGATTAGTATAGTAGGAACAGTCCTGAAATTTTGTGAAGTATCTGCACCCAGAAGAAAAAGGGGGGTTGGAAAAAAAGAGGGTGTGGGTAAAATGAGGGCAAGGGGCTGGTACAAAATATTAAGGGGTGNGTTGGTGGAAAAGGGTAGTGGTAGCTCGCTTATTTGACGATAGGGTTATGGTGGAGCTCAAGTTCAAACGGAGGGTATGAATAGACCATCTTGAATACCACAGGGGCAAGTTTGAGCCTTTTCCCAAAAAGAAATCTCACAAAAGAAAGGAAGGAAAGACTGGCTCTATAACTTTTTGAGAACTGTTCATTGGATCTGATTTTCCTGTTATTTCTCATTTTATCTCGTATACTTAATGCAGAATGCTCCCTTTTTCGTTACGAAGCTGGGAATTAAAACTCTACCATGTGTCATCTTTTTCAGGTTAGTGCGGCCTGGTCTATTTAACCTTTAGGGTACTCTGCTTCGCACTGCTGTATTCTTTCTCATTTATTTTATCCATGTTTGGGTGGGGTTCTATGGTTGTTTCCAAGGCAATGTTAAGAACTTCAAAATAGCTCTTTCCTTCAAGCAAGAAGAATGAACCTAAATTCTCCTAATTTATTGGTCTAAATCTATCAAAACAGGCCCAATGCACCAAGGGAAGTAAAAGATCTGTCTGTCAGTGAATTAACTGTTTAGGGCAGGTTGGCCAGCAGTTAACATTTGTAGCGGGCATAACAGTCTTAATTGTTTCAGGTCTTGGATTTGATTAGGCAGGGGAGCTACCCTCTTTTACTGTAAATTAGACGAGGGAGCTATCACGATCTTCACAAACATAGTTTAAAGTCACTTGTAGCTTCATCAAAACAGTGGATAAAGGGAAGGGGTACACTCTAGCAATCTTATTTATGGTTCCAGTCCTAAACTTCCTGAAATTCATACACATACATGTGAACGTAAGCATCAACACATCCTAGGTGTGTGGTTAATCGTACTCTTTCTTTTTCAGATGATGTCATTTCCTTTTGTTCTACACCTGAAGAATTTTGCTTTTCAGGAATGGAATAGCTTCAGATAGGCTGGTTGGTTTTCAAGATTTGGGCGGAAAAGATGATTTCAGCACGAGGACTCTGGAGGGTCTTCTGTTAAAGAAAGGTAATGCTTTTTAATTGATGATTCCTATCGATCGATAGCTTATTGCAGTTACTAAACCATCTTCGGTGCAGGAATCATCAAAGAGAACAAGGAAGAAGAAGATGATGAAGATTCATATGGTGAAAGAAATAAGACAGTGAGATCGTCAATCAATCCAGATTCTGATTCAGACTGATGAGTTATTAGTGGTCACCAGTTTTGAATCAAATGACTATTCGTCAGCCTTGAATGCATTCGTATCCAAATTTTCTTGGTAATTTATTCACCGTATAACAAAAAGTTCCAAATCGTAAAACTATTAAGTGCTGCGTATGTAAGCGCATTATCCCTCTTTGAAGCTTTCATGTCATACCCTAATCTTTTCAAAAGCTCTACGTGATCTGCTTTAATTTTTTTTGGAATTAAATATTTGCTTAATTCCATTCATATTGAGCATTAATATTTCTATAAATGGATGTCCAGTATTATCAACAAACTCTGCTCTCCTCCGTATATTCCTTTCTCCACTTCTTTCATATCTTTATATTCCTACCAAATCTCTCTTCTTATAAAAGTTGTTTTGAAAGAAATCTCTAATTAGCCTTATTGTCTCTGTTGATGCATAGATGTGGTGCTTTGATTCTTGATGTTCGAGATTATGTCTCCAGTAATCAGTGAAGTTCTTCTGTCTGATTTTACCATTAACTCAACTCTGCAACGTCGTACTCACTTAGTTCAATCCTTCTCAGTCGTCTTCCTCTACTGGTTCTACGTGTTTTCATGAAACAGTAAACCTGAGATTCCTTCTTCTTACTCATTAAACTTCATTCAAGATCCCAACCCTTTGACTACATTTCAGTTGTTATTTACCTTTTGTAGCAGGGTACTTTTGTTTTCCACGAACAATTACTTATAGTTGTCTTTTGTAAAAAGATATAATGGTGTAAAAATCCTTTTTATACAAGGTAAAGTCTAATTTTGGTACTATGATATATAAGAATATTCTAATTTTGGTACTATGATATTATAAAACGATTGGTCGTTAAGTAATCCGTTTTATACAAGGTAAAGTCTATTCTTATTCAAGTGGAACATCTTCAGGTTCATTAAACCATGTTAATCAGCTTGTCATGGCTTCTAATGATGAGCCAGATCATTTGGTCGTTATAAAAACATTTAGAATGATAAATGGATTTCAAGAAAAAGGAAAATGAGAGTTTAAACGGGGTTTTCTCTTTATTCTCCAATTCTTTTTTATTTCTATGCTTCTTTTCTTTTTCTTTTTTCCTTTTCCTTTTTCTCGTTTTCTTCTTATTTTTTTATTTTTCCTATTCTAATTTCATTTAACTTTTTTTTATATTCTTTTTCTCTTCATAATCTAATTTCATTTACTATTTTTACTATTTTTTATTATTTTTTTATATTATTACTAAAGAAAAATCAAATTGTGTACCAATTAAATGTAGCTAATACAATCAAAAAAATATTAACTAACATTTGATACCGGTATAGTATATAGTTATACCAATAGGGTATACAATTGTACGCAAAGAGTTAAAAAAAATTTAATTCGATTATTAAAGTGAAATAATATCAGTTGTCAATAACAATTTTAAAAAATTAAAAGGATCTAATTGTAAGAGTATACCGTTACATTATATAACATACTATAATATTTTTTTTTTTACTTTTTTTGCATTTCCAATTTGCCTCTCACGTTGGGTAAAAGCTTAAAGCAAATTAAAAGAGAAAAGGCAAGTGAATTTACGGGTAATAAGTATATTGTATACTATTATTGTATATTGTATACTATTACAATATATTGTTACAGTATATTGCATATTATTACAGTATATTATAACAATATATTGTATACTATAATAGTATACTGTTGCAGTATAACTATATACTCCTATAGTATATTGTATATTGTAGCGGTATATTGTTGGGTAACTGTGTTCTTCTTCGATTATTACAATATATCGCTTTTGCAGTATATTGTAACTATAATAGTATACTGTTGCAATATAGGTATATACTCCTACAACATATTGTATACCGTAGCGGTAAATTGTAGCGTGTTCTTCGATTTTCAACTGAAAATTTTGATCTCAATCACCTCAAATCAGCTCCAAATGCTATCAAATTTCAGTATGAACTTCTAGAAGATACTATAAGCAATATTTAATAGCACCCACTTTGAATCAAACAAGAAATCTTCCAAAATAAAATTGACCTTCAAGCCCAACAATGGTGGATGTTCAAATACACATATTGGTGGATTTCAAGTTTCCGTGAGGAATATCATCATTCTGGAGGCCTTCATGCATGAAAGCTAAGGCCTTAGCTACAGTTGCTGCAATTCCTAATCTGCTTATTGCCCAATCGAAAATTTGGTTGCCCTGGGATGCTGAAATGGACAGTTATATGCAGTAACTTTACCTTTCCATATTCATTTTCTATGTATGATGTACAAACTTGTTACCGAATTATTTTTTATATAGGAAAAAAGCCGATGGGTATAAAGTGAGAAAGGTAAAATGAGGAAGAAGAAGAAAAAAGGCGGGTAAATAGTTTGGGAAGCAAAGATAGGAGTAGTAAATCGTTTGGGTATAGGCATTAAAGGGTAAATAGTTTGAAATTAATGGGTATAAAGTGAGATTTTCTCTTAAGATAATAGAAGATCCATTACTGTGTGTAAATTGAGGAATGGGCCTTCATCGCTTTTTACAATATTAAAATTTAAAAAAAGAAATCTTTTTTAAATCTCTTATAGATTTCTTATGTGTTAAATCAAATCTCTGGTACGTAAAAAAAAAGAGATATGGTTATAAAACTAAAAATAAATTTGTAATGATCCACAAAACTATTTGACCTGCATAAATTAAATAACTGCAATTCTCTTTTGTTGTAAGATAACGACTCTTTTGGGATGTTGCTCTATTTCATTTTCATTAGACTTTCTATTGGGTGTTCAAGATTACTCTGAATTTATTAATTTATTTTGCTAAATAATTCACATGCTTTTATTTCCCTACTTGGTTTCGCTTACGCAATCCTTCACTACAGTGGCCTTTGATAAATAGAAAATATAATCGTTATGTACAATTTGTAAAATATTTGGTTGGTGGAAAATTGGCGGTGAAGTTTCTTTCATTCAGTTAATAAAAGGTGTCGAAGGCTGTTGGGCATGCATAAATTGAAATATCAGGCTTGAATTATTGGCAAAAATGAGTTTTTAATATATGATGATATTATATAGTAATACAAAACAAACTAAACCTAACTTATAGTTAAAGAAACACTAGATAAAACAACGTTTCTAGCCTACAGACAGAGGCTCCTCCTCCTCTTTACTCACACTACCCAAATTCTAGCTCGAAACAATGCCAAACCACTCTATTGACAACCAACCAATAACTTCAATTCCACCAAAACCACCTGATATTGAAATTATCCTTCTCAACCAATAATACTGCAAATAACTCGTATAAGGATAAACTACTTGGGAAAATCCCAAACACACTTGAAGACCTGACTAACTCCAATTGCTCCCCCTCACCTATGGAAATGCAACAAACTCCAAATCCACAGTGTCCTCAAAGCGGAGAGGAAAGCTTCATAAAACAAATAATCCTAACGGATCAAGACATTGAACGCATTTATGAACCCTGAAAATTTTCAGTTATAATCAAAATTAATAGGGAAAAGAGTTCTCCATTATTACCTAAAAACAAAAGTACAAGCCCTTTGGATACCAACGGAAAATTTTTCCCTGATAGACCTTGGCGAAGACTACTACACGGCTAAATTCAACAAAGAAGAAAATGCTAGGAAAGCACTCCAAAACGGACCATAGTTCATCAATGGTTTCTTCCTATCAGTTCAAAAATGGACTCCCAACTTTGTAGCTACACGAGCAAGTCAGAGTTTATTTGGGTCCGACTGCCACAACTTCCAACTGAATTTTATGATGGAATCATACTTATAAAGATTGAAAATGCTATTGGAAACCTACTAAAATTTGATGCATGCACATCTTCTACCATTAGAGGCCGCTATGAAAGGTTATGTGTACAATTACCATTGGAACAAAAAGTCCAATCACATATCTTAATTGGATCACACAAGCAAGTTATATTATATGAAGGTGATAATATTTTATGCAAATTATGTGGCTGCCTGGGACACTCTTCCTTAAAGTGTCCCCACCCAATTACACAAAGCCCACAATTGGCCAATGGTGAAGAAAAAAAACTCAGCATCCACTGAAGCTATCAATGGAGAGTGGCGGACGGTCTCATTCCCCAAGAATAAATCCAAGCGGGCAGGTAGGAGCTACAACAAGCAAAATCCCAGGTATAAACGTCAGAATTTTTGATGCATCAACAGGTAAGTTCCTTAATACTCAGCAACTGAAATATGTTGATAAAAATTCTATCATCCATCAAACACCTGAAAGTACAAAAAATCTAATAAATCCAACGTGAAAATAGTTAGGTAATAATCATACTTTCCTTATTATTAACAATAACATTAACAATAATTTTAATAAGTTAAGTAAAGAGCAGACGAATTCCCCACAAACCAGTGGTAAAGGGAATACCATCATACTCTTGCATGGGAATAATCTTCCAACGAGGACAAGTGGAAAAAATGTGTCCTCCAATGATACAACTTCTACTACTAGCGTCCAAATTATTATTCCTACTAAACTAGGGCCCAATGACACTACCGACGACCCTTCTCTTTCTAATACAAACCCCCCTAAGATACTACACCACAGTAAACCCTCCCCATTAATCATAACCCTCTAGGAAACCCCCTAATACAATTTGCATGATGATAATTAACCACCCTAACAAAGAACACTTGGCAAAAAGAAATCAACAAATGTCGGACGTGATATCCACAAGGGATCTTGTTAAAATTCATACGCAAGAACCCTCTTCATCCATGTAAATAGACCCCATCATTGCAAAACTCCCAACTCCGCCATCAGAATCCATATCTACTAGCCTATAAACTTTTATATTAAACCACCATATCTCCCACCATGCCTCAAACACCATTCACCTTGAGAAGGAGATACAGGCTTGTTCAACTCTAACGCCTCCAACGACCATACCCAATGGACAACCTACAACCATTACCACCCCAATTCCCAGCTCAACCGGTGATTTATGCTCAACCACCAAGCCCACCCAACCACAATCCTGGATCGAGTTTGGCCTAATGGGCCATGCGATCTCCTTCAACCTACAAATCAACGGGTAGGACTCAGTCCTCATTATCCAAAATACAAACTACCTAGACCAGTTAATTTCAGAAGGCATGCATCTTGCCGTGACCAACTACATCAATCATATGTGGATGAGCAACATCTTACAACCATTAGCCCCCTCGATGAATCAAAATTTAGCCAACAACATGTAGGAGATGTGGAATATACTGGGCAATCACAACACCGTGATGCCCCAAAACATTCCTCTCAACTTACCCTTCTTTGCACTAGAGGAAATGTCCATAATGAATACCATATTCACCCGATAGGTTGTGTCACGAACTCCAACACAACAAGCTCCTCATTAGAACTCCCCAATGCATATGCACAACAGATGGACATGCAAAACCAGGAGGAAATCAAGAGGATGAGGAGGAAGAAGCACTTCCATATCATGGAGAACCCAGGGTGGCATTCTCAAACTTAAGCGAGGTAAAAATATTAATTTTCAAGGAATAGCTAGACAAGAAGTGTATCATCAGTTGTCCCCTAACATTGTTCAAATGCTCGATAGACATAAGGCCTCCACATAATCCAACAATAGGAAAGAATGTAATAATTCTAGTTCCCTCCCACAAAAGGAACAATGCAACAATAATGAGGGAGAACAACCAAAACCACCCCAACCCATTAATTATGAATCAACCAATTAACTTTATAATCTGGAATGTTCGAGGTGCAAACAATGCAAACTTTAGAAGAA